CAAAATTGAACGATGCCATGTAACCCTATCAGTGTAACTCTGTGTGACAACGACAAACATATAGCTCACGAACACACTCACACTCACTATGGTGAGTCCGAGCGTGTGTTGCCGCTGTTTCTCCATGTCGCACAGTGAACTGTCAATTGAAAGTTTTATAACTAATTAAGTGCTGCCATCCAGTGAAAACTGTACATGCAGCCCCTTGCCGCCTGCGGCAATGCTCGTTCCGATGGCACACATCCTTCCTGTCTGTTTCAGTGTCGATTGGCTCTTCTCAAATTGTTCCATCACAATATGGCTCGTTCGGACCCGGGCAACGCTTTCTAGAATAAATGAATGGGTGATTTTTTGGAATAAATGATAAAATGATAAATGATGACCTGGTTTGGGCTTTCGTTTTGATTGAGTAAAAGAAAGCACCGAAAGAAAATTTCTCGATCGACAATGATGAGTGATGTGTTGCTACTGTGGGGAAGCGGATGCTTCTGTATACGTGGCAATCGGCAAACGGCATAATTTTGAGATCGATCGTTTGTAAGGGCCGTTCTTCGTGCGAACTGTTGCTACGCGAACCAACTGATCTTCTCCGGGATGTAGCTCGGTGATGCGACCAAGTAACCATTCGTTCGGTGGCAAGCGGTCATCTTTGATGAGAACCAAATCATTTAGTTGGAGATTCGGTTGTTCATTGTGCCATTTTGGTCGAGCTTGAAGATGCGTCAACCAATCCGATGACCATTTTGACCAAAATTGCTGGATCATGCGTTGCAACGTAAGGTAATGTGCGCTCAATGACAGCTCCTTTGATGGATCAGTGGGTGGGGCGAGTAGAGTGTCGCCAATTAAAAAGTGCCCAGGTGTGAGCACATCCAATTCATCCGGATCGGCAGTCAAGGGGCACAACGGACGTGAATTTAGGCACGATTCGATTCGCACCAAGACAGTTGTGAGCTCTTCGAATGTGAGTCGTCTAATCTATCATTCGTTTCAAGTGGAATTTAAGCGATTTGATGTTGGCTTCCCAAAGTCCTCCAAAATTCGGCGAATTTGGTGGGTTGAAATGCCACTGAATGCCTTGCATTGTCAATTTTGGCACGATGTCTCTGTTGATAGCGTCTACGAATGAATTATGACCGACGATTTTCTCGGCGCCGACGAAATTGGTGCCATTATCGCTGTGCATATCACGAGGCTTGCCTCGACGTCCGATGAAACGATGCAATGCACACAAAAAATGCTCAGTTGTCATCCCAGTCGTTGCCTCGAGGTGAACAGCTTTGGTTGCGAGGCAAATGAACAGAGCGATGTATCCCTTGTACGTAGTATTGCCACGAAATTTGGATGCTTCAGTTCAATTGCACCAGTGAAGTCCACTCCAGTGGCTAAGAACGGTCGATGAGGCGGATTAACGCGATTGTACGGCAAATTTCCCATTAATTGTGTTGTTGTTTCTGGTTTTGCTTTGAAACAGGTGACACACTTGCGAATACGTGACCGAACGGCAGGTCGGCCGTTTGCAATCCAAAAACACCCACGAATGTGTGTGAGTGTGACGAGCGTTGAATGTGCATCGTCGATAACTAATGTGGTGAAATGATGGTTTTGAGGCAAAATGATCGGGTGGCGCTGACGATACGGTAAATTGGAGCGTTGCAATCTGCCCCGTACACGGACAATATTTTGTTCATCCAAAAATGGTGCTAATCCGCTAATTTTACATTTCTTGGGTAAAGATTCATTATTGGAAATACATTTAATCTCCTTACCGAATGCTTCCGCTTGCACGAGACGGACCAACTGGAACAAACTGGATTGGATTTCCGCTACGGTCAGTTCTCCTTGCATTCGTTTCAACTTGTTGAGTGCGTTGTGGCGAAATTGACGAATCCATGCGTTGACACGAACCAATTTGAATAACGATGAGTACAAAAACATAATCGATTCGGTTTGAATGCTCACATGAACATGAATTTCTGATGACTTTACTTCTGCTAAATCCTCAGTGAAGCTGATGATGCCTGGCTTGAATGTAGGCCAGTCCCTTTTCGGTTTGACTAACCACTCCGGTCCTTTCCACCACAAATCGAACTTGGATAACTGTGCCGGTGTCAATCCACGTGTGGCACAATCGGCAGGATTATCGTGAGCGCCAACATGGCTCCATTGTTTGGGTGACGTTGATGATAAAATTTTGCTAATTCGATTTGCGACGTACATTTTCCAACGTGTGACGTCTCCATGAATCCAATGTAACACAACCGTTGCGTCACACCAAAAATAAATCGGAATTTGATCGACAGGGATTCGAAGATTTGATTTTACCCACACTGCTAGTCGAGTTACAAGTTCGGCTCCACACAATTCGATTCGTGGAATGGTTAATGGTTTGGTTGGAGTTACCTTGCTTTTGGCGATGAGGAGATGAGTGTGTACCAATCCATTGTTGTACTGCATTCGGATGTACACATTTGCTGCATATGCTGATGTTGCGCCGTCACAAAATGCATGTAACCCGATTGATTGAATTTGATTCGGCGAAAATTGGATCCATCTTGGTATGGATATCTTCTCGATGTCAGGGAATTCCACCAGAAATTTGTTCCAAAGTTCGTTGAGTGATTCTGGTAAAACGTCGTCCCAATTCAACGCTGCTCCTTGGTTCGATTGATCATCACCGTGAGTGGATGAGTTATGGCCCCAAATGCGTTTGAGAATAATTTTCGCAACGACCACAACCGGTGTGATGTAACCCAACGGATCGTAGAGGCGAGCAGTTGTTGACAAAACAGCTCGTTTTGTCGCAATTTTTGCTGGTTCGAATCTGAGTTTGTATTTGAATTGATCGGCGCCAGGTTGCCAAATCATTCCAAGCGTTTTGACGGTTTCGTCTGTGTTGAATTCTAACGCTGAATTTATGGATTGGTGTTCCATTGGAATTGATGATAATAACGATAGATGGTTGCTGCCCCATTTCCGCAGCTCCATACCCGCTGATTTGAGTGCACCGATCAAATCATCTCTCTTAGCTAAGGCACTTTCGATCGAATGCCCGCCAGATTGTACATGTACATCGTCGACGTACATTTCTTGCTATAGAATCGGTTCGAAGAGCGGAAAATTCTCCTTCTCATCATTGGCAATCTGGTGCATCACCGAAATCGCAATTGCAGGGGCTGGTGCTGTTCCGAATGTTACGGTTGTTAGGCAAAATGTTTGCAACTCACCCGAATCGTTTCTCCATA